AATGTTTTGTGCCCCTCTCCAACCCATGTGCAATCTCACAATTCACCCTCTTCGAGACACAGCGTTCTGGTTGGGACTCGTTCTCCTCTCCAATCGACGTAGGATCTCAAAATTCACCCTTTGGAGCCCAACTTCCTTATTAGCACTCATTCCCCTTTCCAACTCATAATATACCACTTTCGGTGCCTAACGTCTTCGTTAGCACTCATTCCTCCCTATAATCGAGGTGGAATCTAACAATTCCACTCAAACATAAAGATTGATATCATGTCCAAATCTATTATGGTGGCACATTTATAGGTTGGTTGACCATGGCTAGGGTTCAAGAATGAAAGTGCTTCCATTTAAAACCTCCATTTCAATTCTGCCCCTTGTCATCCATGCACATAGCCTTCACATCTCCAACAAATATATATACAGAAAGAGAAAGATATGCATTATATACTTACAGCACAGCTCATAATTATAATCATATCATATATATCCTCATAGATTTTCAACAAACACCAAAAAAAAAAAAAAAAAACCTAACAGAGATAAGATCGATCTAACAAGAACTAATCAACCACTGTCCTCTGTTTTTTCCGCCACCGGCCGTGGGAAAATCATAGAGTTTTCAGTGAGACTGTTACCTTTAATGGTCAGTGACCCCGAAGACTCGGTCAAATATGACGTGGAGAAGAAGGGAATATAGTGCTGACCAATAGGATTTTGCCATATGGCGGACGTTCTTGTTTGGTTATTTGGTAAGCCACCGAGCCAGTTGGGTCGGGTTGACGATGCCGGATATCTGGGCCTTATCCGTCTTCAAAATGGTCGCCACGTCGGCGTAGATCTGAATCTGATGCTCTTTCTTGATGATCTCCGGCGGCGCGGCTTCCGGCTTCGGCTTCTTGTACTGTGCAGCGGTCGTGGTCGGGAATGGGCTTGCTTCGGCTCGATCCGGGTCGAACTTCCTGCCCAAGATGGTTCCTTTGGTCAGAAACTCATAAGCCATGTACCCGGCCAGAAGCCGGTTCGACGTAACTGGCTGCTCACCGGCTTTAAGAGCCGACGGCTCCTTCCGCTTTCTTGACGGCCCAGCTGATAACAGCCCACGGCTGTGGCAATGGAAACTCATTTGCCTTTTTTTTCTCGGCCCTTTGTTAAATGCCAGTAAGCTAGGCCCCGGTGGCAAAACCGTAGGAAGTTGATATTCCCAGGGGCAAAATCGTCTAACAAGATATTGTGATTTTTTTTTTTTTCCTGAAAAAATTGACGAAAGGTTAAAAAGTAAAAAAAAAAAAAAGAATGAGGGATAGTGGGCACGGTAAAAGTAAAAAAGAGGTTTAAAAATGGGGATAACGTAAGTTAAGGCGAGAACGGAAAAGGATTGAAAGCGACTACAATTTTTTAAAAGGAAAAGAAAAAATATATATATATATAATTTTCTTTCTTTTCCTTTTTTTAATAATTGGGAATAAAAACTTAATAAAAGCTGGGGAAAACGGGGTCAATGTTTAGGTGAAATCGGATCCAGATGGTGGCGGATGGAACCTGAGGGCACTGGTTGGATCGGCGTACGGACGGCAGTTTACCAGTGGCGCCACCCGGCGAACGACGGAGATGACGGCTGACCAAGAAAAATTCCGTTCAGATTACAAAAAAGAATTTGGAGGAGAGAGAAGGAAAGAGAGAAAGAGAGAGAGGAGAGAGTGGGCAAGGGAGAGAGAATGCGGCGAAGCCGAGGCCCCTGCTTTTATCTGGCACACCTTTCCAATTATACCCCTCTTCTAACCGTTGCGGCGAAGCCGAGGCCCCTGCTTTTATCTGGCACACCTTTCCAATTATACCCCTCTTCTAACCGTGAAATACCATAAATACCCTTGGAAAATGCCCTTTATATTTATTCTTTCTTCTCCGCGGATCGGGGCATGGTCCGGCTCCGTTTTTATATATATATATATATATATGTTTTTTTTAATTTTTTAATATTTATTAAATCATTTTGAAAAACTTAAATTTTAAATATTATAACATACTATTAGGTACTTACCAACAAATATATATTTATTTATTTAATTACTATTTATATTTACATATACAAGATTTAAACGAATATAATTATTGAATTTTCATATATATTCTCGTTATATACTAATAATAAAAACATTGGTAATTATTTAATATATAAAATGGAAAGCTTGAAAAAATGAACACAATAATTACAAAATGGAGAATTAAAAAAATGAAATACCATTTAACCCAAAAAAAAAAATGATAGAATAGACAAGAAAAGAAATTTGTGTACGAAGAATAGAAACCACTGACTTTAGATTGTAAATGTCACAATCAATCCCAATTTACCATTTAGTCCAAAAGATTCCAAAGTTTTACTACATTGCCCATCCATAAGAATAAAGCTAATATTCATTAAAAAGAGGGGTGGAAATGGAAAAACAGAATATTACGACTAAAGTATAAATTCCATTTTTTTAATTCCCGTTGTATAAATTTCATTTTTTTTTTATTATTATTTCAAATGTCGATAAATTTAAAAAATAAACATAAATTTTAAATAAAAGAATTGTAATTTAACTTTGAATATTCAAACCTTTTATGATTTTGATTAATTAACATTAATTTAGTTTAATTTAATGTTTGCCTTAATAATGCAACAAAAAGGCACAATGGATTTAATGCAATTAGATTATTTGAAAATAAAAAGAAAATGAATAAAAATTGTACTAAACCTACCTGCTATATATACACAGGTTGTTTTAATTGGATTTAATTTACTTAATAATTAACGTTTGCCTTAATTGCTGGGCGCAAAGACCATAATACCCTAAACCACTCCTCGCTCATTTCAAACGATCCAGCCTACTCACCACTCTTGTGCTTCTCCGACCAAGACATTGGGTTCCCAGAAACCGATGATTACATGGATTGGATTGAGATAGGTACAAGTTGGCTCGGGTGAAAGCTAGAGATTCTAGAGTTCGGAATTTAAGTTTCTCGGGAAATAATTCTCTCAATCTCGAGATATTGTGTGAAACCCTGTCCTCCTCTCGCTCCACATGACTTGTGCCTTATGGAAAGTTGTCGTGTTCAAAGTAAACCTAGTATGTATCACTGTCAGCCTATCTACTAAGAACGAGTTTTCACACCCTTACAATAAAATGTTTCGTTTCCCTCTTTAATAAAGGTAAGATTTCACAACTCACCCTCTTGAGGGTCTAATGTTCTCGGCTAGCACACTATTCCGTGTCTGATTTTGATTCCATTTGTAACCGTTGTAACCGCCCAAGTACAAGCTCATCGTTAACAGATATTTAATCATTATAGCTAATCAAATTTGTAATTAACAATAACAAATTATAACTAAAAAAAATTAATTAACTATTCAAATGTAATAATTATTCATACATAAATATTATTTTAAATTATTTTTATTACTTGTTAATAAATTATGATAATTATATCCAGAAAAGTTACCAGTGAATATATCGACTTTTTATTGGTTGATTTACACATGTCGTAATTATAGAGTGCCAGCTTTGCACAGGATAAGCATGAAAAATATTTCTCTAGCTTTGGCGTTCACTGATCAAACTATCAAGATTGGCCACGTGGGATTTGAAAAGTAGCAGACCTGTGTTCAAAAGCCTATATGTGCCACATAAGAATCAAGATGATCGAAATCAATCCTCCGCCGTTGGATTCCCCTTTGTTCAAACTAGGAAGCTTTTTGGAGCTTTTTGCCTTAAATCAATCCTCCGCCGTTGGATTCCCCTTTGTTCAAACTAGGAAGCTTTTTGGAGCTTTTTGCCTTTTACATTTAAAAAATTAATAAAATTTTAATTTTTAGTTTTGTTTTTTTGTTTTAAATGACACAAAGGTGAAAAAAAAAAAATTAATAAAATTTTAATTTTTAGTTTTGTTTTTTTGTTTTAAATGACACAAAGGTGAAAAAAAAATGCTTTCTTTGCTACAAATTTGGTAATACACATGTTTGTGTCTATTTTGTATATGTTTCAAACGAAACATAGACTCATATTCAACTTTATTTAAATAATTAATTAAAAAAAAATTATATAAACCCTCAACTTTAAATAATAAAAGAATAAAAATAAATTTTTAATAAAATGGTGGATGACATAAACGAAAAAAAATTAAATAAATTTGAAATGAAATTAAAAAAAATTACAAATTTATTAAATTATTCATGATTCTTGAGTTTGATTGGTGAAATAAGTGGGTTTTTTGGTATGAAAATTAAAATGAAAAAATGTGATGAAGATAAATAAAACAAATTTGAATTTGAAAAAGGAAAGGCAATTAAAAATATATATAAATAGGTAATTTTGGATTATTATTTATGAATAAATTAAAGTTTTATTGCAACATGGATGAAAGGGTGGATCTAGTGGGCCCACAAGTCACAATCTTGGTGATCTGGAAATTGGCCCAGTTCTGTGTTGGGCTAAAAGGCAATGTAGGCCCAAATATTAGGAACATTTGCAGATGCTTCCTTTCCCTCAATTTTAACCAAATACCTATGGGTACGTTATCCCGATCAAGATTTTTCTACTCTAGAGGGAAAACCCTTCCCTTTTTCGGCGATTGTGAGTCAAGATGGCTCCAAACCCTTCCCTTTGGGTACGTGCTCTGAATTATAGCCCGCACCCCATCTAGAACTGTTTCTCTACCCAGCTTTTTAGCACGTTTGTGTATGAAAAAAATGAGTCGTTCTCATGCTTTTTGTATATCCACGAGGAAGGATATGGTTGAAAATTTTGAGAATAAGTGAAAAATTAATTTAGATTTATTTATTTATTTATTATTATTTTTGGTTTAAAATTAGTAAAAAAAAAAAAAAAAAAAAAAATTTGATTAAATTGACACGACTTTATATGTTTATGGGTAAAAATTGAAATTTTATGCTTATAAAAATATATGAATTTTATTCATATAAATATTTTGGGATAAAAGATGCTTTTTATTTTCTTTTTGGGTAAGAGGGTTATAAGGATTGAACTTTAGGATGGTCATGGCGGGAAGATCGAGGGACAGCAAATCCAGATTGCCAATGATCCATTACGATCGCCGTTGAAGACAAAAGAACAGAGCTCAAAATAAAGAAAATGGCGGCACAAACATTCAAAATGATCAAGAATACATATACACAAACATTTCAAATTTCAATCCCACTCGTTCTACTCCGGCGGAGCTCACTAGTCCGAGAGTCGACACCAAGCGAATTCAAAGTTCGAGAGGAAGAATCACAATCATTTGGCTGAAATCCGAAGCAAACGAGCATTGTGAATTCAATTCAATTATTACAGATGCAGGAGATAAATTGTGTAGGGCGCTTTTCCTTTTAGTAGGCATGTTTTAGACTGATGTCCTTGCTCTTCATGCGGCTGCAAATTCATTTAATCATTTCAATGGAGAACAGCTTGTGCTCCACTTTGGTAAGTAAGATAGTAGGTTCTTTTACTTTCGAATCATTCTCATTCATTCTTTCACCAGTCACTGCCTCTTGATTTTACTCATATCCGATGATTCGTCTTTATTCACACTTTTCAGTAACAGTGAGCTAAAGGAATTTTATGATTTCGTTTTTGACCTAAATTTTGAAATACGCGAGTCTAATTTTATAATATCTTTCTTGATGCGAAGTTTTCGAGATGAAGGTTTTTCTGTCTTGTTCTATCGTGTAACGGCGGAATAGAGAATGAATAAAATGTTAATGAAATCAGTTCCTTCGGTATTAGGGTAATTGTTGACTTGTAAGGGAGGGATTTCTATTCTAACTGGGCCCTGCATATTGATTCTCGTTGGAAGTTGTTCATTATTTTATTTTATTCTAAATGATTAAAAAATTTAGAAGAAAATCATGCGTGTTCACACGTTGAAGGGAGAACTTAATGCGTATTGTACAGATTCTGGATTCCCTGCCTGTGTTTTGACCTTGAATACAAATTTGTACTCTGCCGAAAGGAAAAGACAGTTTTAAAAAATCCCAGAAAGAAAATTCATTGAGACCTTGGATTCTTGCTTAGGAAGATAAGTTTGATGGCTTCTTTTTGAGAGGATTGGAGAATGCACGGTGGAGTTCGTGTTTTGTGGGCTCGGTCGATGACTTTATTTGGGAAAAAGGTGTTACTTTTCTTCTGTTGATGTTTGTTCTGATCGCATTAGCTCTAGTTCATGATTCTCCTGTGGGTTTCTCTTTCTTTTCTTTTTTTTTCTTCTTTTTCAGCTTTGGTAATCATACAACTTTGCTTCATTATGATGTCTACTTATATTGAGTTCGAATTCATTTTGCCATTGCTTGTGTTTTTCTGTGTAATTCCCCCAATTTCCCTGTTCTTCACCAGTAATGGGTTTCATTCGTGCTTAATATTCGAAGTTTTCCAGGTATTTATCGAGTTGTAGAAAGTTTTGCTGGAATGGATGGGTTTCTATATGCTAGGAGGTATTTTAGAACAAATACTTTGAAGGAAACGACCAGGAAAATACTATTTGGGAATTTGAGTTGACTCTTCTCGACTTCTAAACCATTCATTTCTCCAATTGCTTGAACACTCCGTGTTTATTGATCGAGTATTTAGTATTTAATTTTCGTAATATGCTAAAATTTTGAACTGCGTGCCTTATCACTGAAACTGGTTTGTAAGAAGTTCTAATCCTCTCCCTCTCTCCCTTTTATATGATCTGCTTTCACAGATTTTCGGTGGAATGAGCCAGCATGAGAGCAAAGGCCTGGATGAATGAGCAAATTTTACGCCTCAAGAATAAATTTAGCAAGATGATAAACTGTATTCGTTCAGGGGATCAATTAAAAGTGGATGAAATGATGCATTCATCAGATTCTCTGGCAACTCGAGACTATTCAGCCAGTGGTTTTTCATCACGTACTGGGGAGGTGGAACCGAAGGTGGATAATGCCAACATTGAAGAAGCTGAATCATCTCTTCGTGAGAGTGGTTATCTGAATTATGAGGTTTGTCTCTCGTCAATAATGAAACCACTGTTTTATGGAAAGAAGCAAGAAATTCACTGTGTTATAAGATTAGCTCATTGTGTCTTTTGTTGAGGACATCACCTGAAAAAAGCACTTTCATGAGGCAGAAGATAGTGTCTATATAAGTATTTCTTCAAATTTCTTATAGATTCAATCGCCCTGGATGCAGCCATTTGACCATGTACAATTCTATTGGATATTAGAATATGATAGTCCACAACAATTTTTTGAAATATCATGTTTGCTGTTGTTGAAAGTGAGCTACAGTACCTTTTAATTTTCTAGGAAGCACGTGCTTTACTTGGAAGGCTCGAGTACCAAAAGGGTAACATAGAAGCTGCTCTTCATGTTTTTGAAGGAATAGACATTGTTGCTGTAATTTCCAGGATAAAAGCTTCCATTTCAACGAGATATGAACAAAATAGACGGCAATCACAAAGTGATGTTGTGCCTACTATGTCTATGCATGCCATTAGTTTACTTCTTGAAGCTATTTTTCTGAAAGCAAAATCATTACAGGGTTTAGGAAGGTTTGTAGGTATTTTCTCCTCTCTCTCTCTCTCTCTCTCTCCCCCTGCTGCTTTAAGATTTTCAAAGGATCCTCTTTCTTCCCCATCTGTATTCATATTTTTTTCCCTTTTTGTTTATAATCTGCAGAGGCAGCAAAATCTTGCAAACTACTTTTAGACACTGTTGAATCTGCATTACCCGAAGGCTTACCTGAAAATTTCGCCAATGATTGTAAATTGCAAGGGACACTAACAAAGGCTGTTGAATTGCTTCCAGAATTGTGGAAATCTGCCGGGTCTCCTGAAGAATCTATCTTGTCATACAGGCGTGCCCTTATTTACCAATGGAATCTAGAAATGGAAACTAGAGCAAAAATAGAAAAAGAGTTTGCAATTTTCCTTCTCTATAGTGGTTGTGATGCAAGTCCTCCCAATCTCCGTTTGCAGATGGAAAGCTCATTTGTGCCAAGAAATAATATGGAAGAAGCCATTCTTTTGTTAATGGATCTGTTGGGAAAATATATACATGGATTGGTTGTTTGGGACCCATCAATAACAGAGCATCTCTCGTTTGCACTGTCTATTGTTGGGGAATTTGGAGCTCTAGCTAATGAGGTTGAACAATTGCCTCCAGGAACTATAGGAAGGAAAGAGAAGTACTGGACACTAGCTCTTTGTTACTACGGGGAAGGTAAAAGCTTAGTTGCGTTGAACCTTTTGAAGAACTTCTTGAATAACAAAGATAATGTAGGCTGCTTACTGGAATTGTTGTTAGCTTCAAAGCTCTGTGGAGAGAATTTGGTTTGTCTCGATGAGGGGGTGACTTACATATTGAGAGTGCTTTCGGAACTGGATGGTAGATGCATCCAGATGGTTTCCATTGCTAATTGCTTACATGGTGTATTACTGTCAGCCATATCCAAATCAATTGCTTCTGATTCTCAGAAATCTTTGAAGCAATCTGAGGCACTCAAGGCACTACAAACCGCTGAGCAACTGATGAAACAAAGGGATCCATTCATTGTGTATCATCTTTGTCTTGAATATGCTGAACAGAGGAAGCTGGATATTGCTCTATACTACGCAAAACAGCTAGTGATACTCGAGGCTGGGTCTAGTGTGAAGTCGTACATCCTCTTGGCCAGAATATTGTCCTCCCAGAAACGGTTTGGGGATGCAGAGACTGTAATCAACGCTGCTCTTGAGCAGACAGGGAAGTGGGAACAGGGCGAACTCTTACGAACTAAAGCTAAGCTCCAGATTGCACAGGGCCAGTTAAAGAGCAGTATAGAAACATATACTCATCTTCTTGCTATAATTCGAGTCCGGACTAAAAGTAGTGGAGTTGGAAAGATGCTTTCAAAGGTAAGGGATTCAATTTCGTAAGATCAAAGCTTTTTCTTGTATTGTTATTGAGATATCATGGTTAATGATTTTACTCTAGATTTTAAAGACATTTCACTGAGTTCTTGTGGATTAATGTTTTGGTATCTGGAAGTTCTCTTCCTCCAGCTCGCATGAAAACTGAATTTTCTTGTCTTTTAAAATGTCTTATGAGGTTTGAGAGACCGGATTTGGTGCCTTCTCACTTGTATTACTATAACCATCAAGCTGAGTTAATACAGTTAGTTCATTTATTATTTATTGCTTTGTTTCACCTTAATACAGGATGTCTCGGTGAGAACATCTGACAGAAGTCTGGAAATAGAAACATGGAATGATTTGGCCAATATGTACACAAGCTTGTCTCAGTGGCGGGATGCTGAGATCTGCCTATCAAAATTGCAGGCAATCAATCCATATTCTGCTTCTAAATGGTATTCCACAGGTAAACATCATCCCCATTTACTTTTGTGGCTCAAATACTTTCCCATCTATTGTTCTCCTCATTCTATTTTATTTTTTAATCAATTACTGATGAATCTGGTAGGTTTACTGTATGAGTCTAAGGGTCTCCCACGAGATGCTTTGCAGGCATACAACAAAGGATTAGGCATCGATCCTAACCATGTTCCCAGCATGATATCAACTGCCCGTCTTCTCCAACAACTGGGCGGCAGGCAGTCATTTCCTGTGGTAAGAAGCTTGCTAACCGACGCCCCGTCTTCTCCAACAACTGGGCGGCAGGCAGTCATTTCCTGTGGTAAGAAGCTTGCTAACCGACGCCCTTCGACTTGATCGAGCAAACCCATCTGCATGGTACAATCTCGGGTTGCTATACAAAGCTGATGTCGGGGCATCCGTGCTGGAGGCTGCCGAATGTTTTGAGGCTGCAACTCTGCTTGAAGAGTCAGCTCCAGTTGAACCTTTCAGATGATGAAAACTTGCCTTCTTTCTCGTAGAGAAGTTGGATTTTGCTGTCCTAGTTCTACAGGTTTACTCAGATCTTCCATTTGCTTGCTGCATTTTCTTCTTCGGGATTAGGAACAATAGTAATAGATGATTGGCACAAAGTAGTGTGTAAATAGAAAAGCAAAAATACATAAGCTGTTAGTTTTCTAGCCAACCTCCTTGTGTTTTTTTTTTTTTTTTTTTCTTTCTATAGAAATATAAACATCACAATTTGAAAGTTTGATTTGTAAAGTGAATTAAGGAAACATTGTTCCCCAAGTCAATGAGTTTTCTTCTTCATTGCTTCATCTTCTACAGCACACAACAGTTGAGCTCCTTCTCCACGGCAAGGGCAAGGGCAAGATGCAGAAAACTTTTTGAGCAACGGGTTGAAGCGCAGGACATGGGAGTGGTCGGGTTTAGTTCTGAAGTGAAGTTTCGTTGACGATGCTGCCATGACGCCGGAAGTGTTCACCGGCGATAGTCCTAACATGGTTTGGACTACGAGTTGTAAGCCTCGAGTTTTGCTCGAGAAGGTGAAGGGGATAAGCTCTTTTATTGTTCGGCTGGACTACGATGTTTGGGCCATGGTCAAGTGAAAACCCATAAAACTAAAGCTTTTTAATGCTGACAGGACTACATGGTTTGGACCATGGTCTAGTCAAAGCCCATAAAACTCAAGCTTTTTACTGCAAGGTCGACTACGATCTTTGGGCCTCCGTCAAGCCAAAGCCCATAAAACTCAAGCGGCTAAGCCCATGAATGAGAGTCCACGAAACAAGAGTCCATGACCTGAAGCCCATGAGGCGTCCACGAAACAAGGGTCCATGGACTCAAGCGCATGAGCGAGAGTCCACGAAACAAGGGTCCATGGACATAAGCCCACGAGGCGAGAGTACACGAACCAAGGGTCCATACATCCAAGCTCATGAACGAGAGTCCACGAAACAAGGCTCCATGGATCCAGTCCCATGAACGAGAGTCCACGAAACAAGGGACCATGGACCCAAGCCCATGAGGCAAAAGTCACTGGACCCAAGCCCATGAGGCGAGAGTCCACGAAACAAGGGTCCATGGACTCAAGCCCATGACCGAGAGTCCACGAAACAAGGGTCCATGAACTCGAGCCCATGATAAGACTACGTTGTTTGGGCCTCGGTCAAGTCAAAGCCCATAAAACTCAAGCTTATTAGTGCTGGGCTGGACTACGATATTTGGGCCTCATTCAAGTCAAAGTCCTAAAACAGGCCTTTTAGTGATGGGCTTTACTTTAATGTTTGGGCCTCGGGCGAGTCAAAGCCCATACAATTCCAGCTCTAATGCTGGGCTGGACTACGATGTCTGGGCCACGTTCAAGTCAAAGCCCTTAAAAACAAAGCCTTTCAATTCAGAGCTGGACTAGGTTGTTTGGGCCGCAGTCTAGTGAAAGCCCATAAACTAAAGTTTTATGCTGGGCTGGAACTACGATATTCGGGCGTCGTTCAAGTCAAAGCCCATAAATCTCAAGCTTTTTAATGCTGGGCTGGACTACGAGATTTGGGCCATTGTCAAGTTTAAAACCCTTCAAAACGGTCTTTTTTATTGCTAGGCTGGATTACGATATTTGGGCCGACAACAAGTTAACGCCCATTTTATGTAAAGGAGGGTGAATATCCATTTGTTTGGTGTATGTATATAGATATTTGAGATTATTATTCAAATAAAAGTAGATTTAAAATAAAATTATTAAAAAAGAAAAAAGAGAGGAGGTTTTCGATTGTGCCCCCCCTTTCCTTTTACTATTAAACAAAACTTAATAATCATGACTAGGAAAATAAAGATGAGTAGGAAAACTACAAAGAACCATATAGATTTTTTGTCCATGTTCACCAAAGGCAACAAGTCAACAACAAAAATTACCACCTCCTAAACACGCCATGATTCTGATCTATTACATGTAATGGAGATTACAGACAAAACAATTTTCCAATTTTGTCTTCCCCCGTCTTTCTACTCATCATATGCACATATTCTCACTTCTCAAATGCCTCACCTCATGTTTTCTCTGCGCCTTACATACCGGGTCCGATCATTATACCTCGGTCTATCTTGAGCTCTTTGAGGCTGTGGCTCCACCCTTTTCTGTCTCTCTGGTGACCTTTGAACTATTTCACCATTCACGAACAACTCAGCTGCGACCACCACAAAAAAACCCTTTTTATTTCACACGGAAAAGTATATTGCAAAGACAGACTACAAAACATAATAAGCAAGTCTTGATGTTTCATCTCTACTGATCTGCATCTCCACAAAGTATAAAGAGAACAGAACAGTTTCGAGAGTCTAATTTAGCATTCAAATCTAAACATTGTCTGAAAGACTAATTTAGGTTTGCCAAGATTTACTATACACGCATTCAATCTGTAAACTGATGTAAGAACACTCTTTTTTTCTTTCAATCTGTAAACTGATGTAAATTGGCATAACTTATCAGGACTCAAAATCAGGCATTGCAAAGATAGACTTTGAAACGTTATAAAATGCATTAATGTTTCATCTCTACTGATCTGCATCTCCACAAGGTAAAAAGAGCACAGAACAGTTTCGAGAGACATTTGTTGTAAGTCCATTAGCATTCAAAACTAAACATTGTCTGAAGGACTAATTTAGGTTTGCCAAGATGGACTAATGAATTTAACAAATAAGCAAAGCTAATGTTTCATCTCTACTGATCCGAAACTCAACTATACATACAAAGCTCAGAACAGTTCAGAGTGACATTTGTTATGAGTCCATTAGCATTCAAAACTAAACATTGCTAAAAGGCTGATTTAGCTTTGCCAAGATGGACTCTATCATAGCTTATCTTATTTAAGTCCAAAATCATGTTTCACGCATTTCTTAAGCTATCATGAGCATATTTATAAAATGTGAACATAATATCAAAGATGGTTGGCCAGAATGCAAATCTAGGAATGATATAAACATAGATCATGTTTCATCTGTAAAGAAAACAACTTATTGAAAGCAACTTTGCCAAGATGAACCTCCTAGATATGAATGTCATTGTCTGTCAAGAATTCTTTGATTGGGTTTTTAATGAACAGCAAAAAACAAAACATTTAAAGCATCATATGCTTACCCCCATAGTCCTTATACTCAGGGTCGACGTAAGAATCAGGAAGAACAAAGAGAACACCAGGCAAGCCTGTTCGCAAAGATTCAAACAAAAATCATTGGTACAAGCTTCACAATTTCAATATGATAAGTGCAAATGCAACATAAATTACTAGAGTGCGAGAAAGGAAACGACGGTCTGTATGTTAGGGCACATGAAGAAATTTAAAGATCATAACACATACCCTCAAGCTTATTGGAGGTCTCTTCATCAATCTCACACCCAAATCCAAAATACCTCTCACAAGAAACATTATAAATCTTCTTCTTCGCTTCCTCTTCACTGTTGAAATCACAAAACACAGCCGAAATCAGCGAAAACACGCAACCAAATTAAGAAGAAAAAAAACATTATATCCTTCCAAGTACCTGCCAAGAACTTTAGCGAGGGTCTGAACGTAGCAGTCAATCATCTGTTGCTTAGAGGCACCCTCACCACCAGGCTACTTTAGCGAGGGTCTGAACGTAGCAGTCAATCATCTGTTGCTTAGAGGCACCCTCACCACCAGGCTTGTCCATCACGATGAGCCAATGCTCATAGTCACAGCCAGGGAAAAGTGGCGCCATCTCAGTGGGTGGACGATCACTGAAGTTGGAGTTTGAGTTAAGAGGCGCGTAACCGGAGTTACCAGACCGATTAACACGGCAACGAATCGAGGTAAGCCAGGGGGTTAAGAGGCGCGTAACCGGAGTTACCAGACCGATTAACACGGCAACGAATCGAGGTAAGCCAGGGGTTGCACGTTGTGGATCGAACGGAATGGGAAAGCAGAGGAAGAGATCGACGGGCGAGATTGAGAGATGGAGGAGAAGGAGGACGTGTAAGAGATTTAGAGGCGGAGAAGAGGCGTTTATGAGCAAGAGGGAGATGGAGGAGAAGGAGGACGTGTAAGAGATTTAGAGGCGGAGAAGAGGCGTTTATGAGCAAGAGGGAGGCGAGCGGAGGAGGGGGAGGCGGAAGCCATAACTCGAAGAAGGGATAACGCCATAGAAGGCGACCGTGAAAGGGTTTACAGCGATGGAGAAAGCCATAACTCGAAGAAGGGATAACGCCATAGAAGGCGACCGTGAAAGGGTTTACAGCGATGGAGAAATGCAAGAACGAGGATTCTAGGGTTTTAATAGCAGAAGGCAATGTTGTAAGGTCATTGCTTAATGGGCCTGCCCTCTTGTTTCCTCAAGGCTCATTAAGGGCCGGATTTAGACGCTGGTATAGGCCCATAACACGAAAAAGTAGGCCTTATCCACAAAACAAATGGGCCAAGCTTTTGCTTCTTCAAAGCCCAATAGCCTCAAGTACTAGATAAAAAGAAAATAATTTATGCGGTGAGCGTGGATCGAACACGCGACCTTCAGATCTTCAGTCTGACGCTCTCCCAACTGAGCTATCCCCGCACCGTTGATAAGTTGGCCAAATATTTTAAGTTATTTAAATTATTTTACAAAACTGAACCTTAAAAGGATAATTAATTTTAAATTACAATATCACAATTTAAGTTTATTGTTATATATATATATTTATCTTAATTATTTAGTTTCATAATTGTTTGTTAATATTTAATTCCTTAATTATTTATTCTTTAACAATCCTCGAACCATTTCAACGCAGCCTAAATAATATATCAACCTGATCAAACTTAACTCACGAACACCTCTACCGATAATCTATAATATCAAATACCAACAAAATACATGTTCACGATTATGGTCCAATGAATTTTTACCATCAATTTTAACCCAATAATTTTCTCGTTCAACTAACTTAGTCCTAGGATTATAACAACTATTCAGAACTTTTAACTCAACCCAAATCGAAAAAAAAAAATCTCACCGAACTCAACTTTTATGATTTGGATTGAATAGCTCAAATCTTCACAAAAAAAAATCAAGTATTTTATTTACAATCACGCGCTATCCCTCGTCCAAATATTTGTTTTTAAATTAATTTTTAAAGAAAAATAATTTTTTTTTTAAACAAAACACTAAACAATTTTTAAAGAAATGTCAACTAAATTAAAAATAATAATAATAATAAGATTTAAGTTTTTTTAAAAAAAATCCCAATTTAAAGAATATGTTTCCAAAGTAAACAATAATAATAAGATTTAAGTTTTTTTAAAAAAAATCCCAATTTAAAGAATATGTTTCCAAAGTAAACACTCAACATGAAAATAAAAAATATATAATTATAATAAAAATTAATCAAAGTACAATAATTATCCATATTTTTCCCCTTCAAAGCTACCTCGAAAATATATATAAAAATTAATCAAAGTACAATAATTATCCATATTTTTCCCCTTCAAAGCTACCTCGAAAATATATATATATTTTTAATTTTGAAAATTATAAATAACACCCAACTTGGAGCCTTTTTTCCCTCCTTTTATCATGGTCTTGCTTCCAGCTGACTTTTAAGTCAACTCTCAGCTACAAAACGACCAAAACAAAAAACAACATGGTCTTGCTTCCAGCTGACTTTTAAGTCAACTCTCAGCTACAAAACGACCAAAACAAAAAACAAAAAACGAAAAATGGATGCCTTTTTCTCATAAAAGTAAACTTTGTGTATGACTTTTGCTTTAATTTAGGCTTCAAAATTAAAAAATAAATAAATCAGCACTGGTCTTAATCGTTGACCAATCTTACCATGCTATAATTATCTTTAATAGTCACCTTTTCTTTCCTCTATGTGACAGTCGTTGACCAATCTTACCATGCTATAATTATCTTTAATAGTCACCTTTTCTTTCCTCTATGTGACAGGTCGTTTAAACTATAGACTAAAATTTTCATTAAAAAAATGCGTAATTCTAATATCGATGTCTTCTAAACAAAACATAATTTTGTACCCACTTGTCGTTTTTAAATCATCTCACATGGTAAGTAAGAACTTCTAAACAAAACATAATTTTGTACCCACTTGTCGTTTTTAAATCATCTCACATGGTAAGTAAGAACTGTTAGTACAGCAAAAATTATGATCGTTATATATTTTTATAATTACCCACTTGTCTGTTTTAAAATATCTCACACGTTAAGTTATTATGATCGTTATATATTTTTATAATTACCCACTTGTCTGTTTTAAAATATCTCACACGTTAAGTTGAAATAGCTAATTAATACCGTTAAAATTACGATAGGACTCAATTTTATTTTTAAATTATCAATTTAGAGAAGTTGGGGCAAAAAAAAATCGAAAATATAAATTGTGAATTTTATAATCATTCTTTTTGAGATGGATTAACGTTAATTTTGTAAATTTTAGTTTGGATTTTGGAAATATTCTTATAATTATTGTTCACGTTTAATATCTATGATAAAGCCATCTCATATTATTCGATAATTAATATTTAATTAGAGTTTTTCGATCCCTTCCAAACTTGTTAAAGCCACCGCAGAATGTAAATAATTAATTTAATTTGTACTTGTTAAGGAATCGATTTATAGAATTATTTAATAATTATACATAATAAATGTATTTTTTAGTAATAATGTGAAAAAAAAAATGAAAATAAAGTAATTTTATTGATTATTTGGATACTCAAATTTCTTATATTTATATTATTTTTATATATATATATATATATATTTAAGAAGAGTGAAAAAAACGGAGAAGGGAAAAGTGTGGTGATAAATGTTAGATGAACACGACTTTTCACAATGGTATAATATTGTCCACTTTGAGCCTAAGTTCTCATAGCCAAAGTACGTCTCCCCTTAATCAAGGCTAGACTCTTTTCTCTTTTTGGAGTCTTAGTCATGTTTTACTATGCTTTCAAGGAGCATTGACTCCTTTCTTTTGGAGTCCTTTATTCAACATTTGATGATTTTATTGATATGGCTAGGTTTTTAGGGCATGACTCTGATACCATGATATATGACTAAGTTTTTACCATGATCATTCTCTGAATTAGTCGAAAGTCTCAATGAGGTTAAAGGAGCGAGTAAAAAAAATTGAGTTATTAAATTTATTTTTATTTTTAAAATTTAAGATACCAATACTATTTTGTAAAGTTTATAGTGTAAAGGAAAGAATGATTTTTAAAAGTAATTTTAATTTAATAAAAAAATATTTTTGAGTGTTTGGTGGATGGATGCGTATATAAAAGGGTCAAGTTTCAGGCAAACTCAACATTTCTGGAACCCAAGGGATAGCTTGAGATCTCTACGTCTCCATTAATGGCGTCCGTACAAGAAACTGGCCACGACGGCTACACCAAAGATGGAACCGTCGATCTCCATGCTAATCCAGTCCTCCGCTCCAAGACCGGCTGTTGGAAAGCTTGCTCCTTCATCGTTGGTAACAATTTTCTCTCGTTCTTCTTCTATGTACCTGTTTCTCCGTCATTGAGAGGAGGTCATAAGCGTCTATACGGTTGAATGGGAATTAACTTTTTTGTTGTGGATTAATGACAGTATATGAAGTGTTCGAACGGATGGCGTATCATGGAATATCGACAAATCTAATATTATACTTGACAAGGAAGCTGCATCAAGGCACTGTAGCATCGGCTAATAATGTCACCAATTGGTCTGGAACTGTTTGGATAATGCCCATCTTGGGAGCTTACATTGCGGACGCTCATCTCGGTCGGTATCGGACCTTTATGATCGCCTCGACCATATGTCTAATGGTATGTTCTAATATTTCAGTCATTTCCATCTTTTTATAAATAGAAAACTAAATAGACACAACTAGAAGGGTATGCTGAGTCATTATTTTTTTATTTTATGGTTTCGAGAAAGAGTGTCTCTAGTAAAGGGACAAAGAAATCGTGCCTCTAGGAGAGGGACATAATGGTCTAAAAATATTATATTACCTCTTAATTTTTTTTTAAATATAATGTAAAATATTTATTCCAACTTATTCCATTACGAGCTACAACTATGCATGTCAATAAACTGCTTTAATTCTTTAATTTTTTTATATTATTAAAACAAAATTGAGCATTATTTTAATAAAAAAAATATATATATATTTTTTAACCTTTGGAGTTATATATTTTTTTTCTTAAATTTTAAAAAATTTAGGATTATAGTTGAAATATAACAGTAAATTTAATTTTTATTTTTTTTAAAAAACGGAAAATATTTTATGTAATATTGAAAACTTATAATAATTTATTTCTTTACTCAACTAATTAAGATATATAATATTATTGAATTCACAGGCAATGGGACTTCTAACTTTAGTAGTGTCAATACCGAGTTTAAAACCGCCACCATGTTTAGAAGTCAACAAAGGAAACTGCAAGCAAGCCTCGAAACTCCAGCTTGCGGTTTTCTTCGGTGCACTCTACATTCTAGCTCTTGGCACCGGCGCAAGCCTCGAAACTCCAGCTTGCGGTTTTCTTCGGTGCACTCTACATTCTAGCTCTTGGCACCGGCGGGACAAAGCCGAACATCTCGACGATCGGAGCCGACCAATTCGACGATTTCCATCCAAAAGAGAAGGCACAAAAGCTGTCCTTCTTCAACTGGTGGATGTTCAGTATCTTCTTTGGCAGTCTATTTGCCACCACCGGTGTGGTTTACATTCAGGACAATGTGGGGTGGAGCTTGGGCTATGGCCTACCCACTATTGGCCTTGCTGTTTCCATTCTCATATTTGTGGCTGGCACTCCCTTTTACAGACACAGGCTCCCCTATTGGCCTTGCTGTTTCCATTCTCATATTTGTGGCTGGCACTCCCTTTTACAGACACAGGCTCCCTAGAGGCAGCCCCTTCACTAGAATGGCTAATGTCATTGTTGCTGCTGCTAGGAATTGGAGGCTCCCTCTTCCTAATGACCCAAAAGAACTTCATGAGCTTGATTTTGAAAAGTACTCCGTGGAACGAGCTTTTCGGATCGACTCCACTTCATCGTTGAGGTGACCATTGTTCTCTCTTATTGTAAAGGTTCAAGCCACCGCTAGTAGATATTGTGTTCTTTGAGCTTTTCCTTCCGAGATTTATAGGCTTTAAAACTAAGTATTCCTTATAATAGGTGGATTGTAAGATCTCACATCGGTTCAAGAGTTAAACAAAACATTTTTTATAAGGGTGTGAAAACTTTTTTCTAGCATACGCGTTTTAAAACCTTGAAGGGAAGCATGAAAAGAAAACCCAAAGAGAATAGTATCGGCTCACGGTGAGCTTGGGCTGTTACAAATGGTATCGAAGTAAGTCACTGGGCGATGTGGCAGCGAGGATGCTGAGCCCCCCAAGGGGGTGGATTGTGAAATCCTACATCGGTTGAAGAGAGGAACGAAGTATTCCTAACTCTTTCTGGCAAACGCGTTTTAAAACCTTGAGGGGAAGTCTTCAAAAGGAAAAGCTCAGAGAAGATAGTATTTGCTAACGGTGGGCTTGAACTATTACACTTATATACACGCAGGGTTGGATGATTGAATGTTATATGTAGGTTCCTGAACAAGGCTGCTATAAGAACAGGTTCAACTGAACCATGGAAGCTATGTTCAGTGACCCAAGTGGAAGAGACAAAGCAGATACTGAAAATGATCAACTGAACCATGGAAGCTATGTTCAGTGACCCAAGTGGAAGAGACAAAGCAGATACTGAAAATGATCCCAATTCTTGTCTGCACGTTCATTCCAAGCACTATGTTGGCTCAAACGCACACCCTTTTCATCAAGCAAGGCACCACTCTTGACAGAAGCGTAGGTAGCCACTTCCAAATCCCTCCTGCCAGTTTATCTGCCTTTGTCACCATCTCCATGCTCCTCAGTGTTGTCATCTACGACAGGTTTGCTCAAGTTTATTACCTTAAACTTTTGGTTAAAAGGTTTTTGTTTAATCCATATCTACGACAGGTTTGCTCAAGTTTATTACCTTAAACTTTTGGTTAAAAGGTTTTTGTTTAATCCATGATCCCATATTGGTTGGAGAGAGAAACGAATTATTCCTTATAGGAGTGTGGAAACCTCTCCCTACTAGACACATTCTATAACCGTGAGGCTGACGACGATATGTAATGGGCCAAAGTGAACAATATTTACTAACGATGAGTTTGGGTTATTACAAATGGTATAAGAGCTAAACACTGGGTTGTCTTCCAGCAAGAATGTTAGGCCCCCAAGATGAGTGCATTGTGAGATCCCACATCGGTTGTAGAGGGAAACGAAACATTCCTTATTAGGGTATAGAAATCTCCCCTTAGTAGACGTGTCTTAAAACCATGAGGTTGGCAGCGATATGTAACGGGTCAAAAAGGACAATATCTATTAGCAGTAGGCTTGGGCGGTTACAGATGGTATTAGAGCTACGAGAAAGCTGGCCCCAAAGGGGTGGATTGTGAGATCCCACATCGGTTGGAGAGGGGAACGAAACATTAAGGGTGTAGAAATCCATGAAAGCTAGCCCCTAAAGGGGGTGGATTATGAGATCTGGCTTGGGCTGGTGAATTGTGAGATCCCACATTGGTTGTAGAGAGGAACGAAGCATTCTCTACCAGGGTGTGAAAAGCTCTCTTCTAGTAGACGCGTTTTAAAACTATGGACCTGACAGCGATACGTAACAAGCCAATACGGACAACATCTACTAGCGATGGGCTTGAGTTATTACAAATGGTATCAGAGTCAGACACCGAAAAGTGTGCGGTTACATAATCCGTTTGCTATATTTTACAGAATCTTCGTGAAGATAATGCAAAGATTGAAGTGTGCGGTTACATAATCCGTTTGCTATATTTTACAGAATCTTCGTGAAGATAATGCAAAGATTGACGAAAAACCCAAGAGGAATCACACTGCTACAAAGAATGGGAATAGGAATGATTCTCCATATCATGATCATGACTATAGCATCTCGGGTCGAACGGCGCAGACTTTACGTCGCAAGAGAGAACGGGTTGGTACAAAATGGAGGAGAAATCCCCTTAACAATTTTCACTCTGCTGCCTCAGTTCATGCTGATGGGAACTGCTGATGCATTCATACAAGTAGCAACGATTGAGTTTTTCTATGATCAAGCACCAGAAAGCATGAAGAGTTTAGGCACTTCATATTCAATGACTTCACTTGGAGTTGGGAATTTTCTAAGTAGTTTTCTGCTGTCAACAGTTTCTCATATCACCAAGAACAATGGCAATGGATGGATTCTGAACAACTTGAACGCTTCTCATCTTGACTACTACTACGCCTTAATTGCTGTGCTTAGTGCTATCAATTTCTTTGTGTTCTTGATCGTTTCTAAACTGTATGTGTATAAGGCTGAAGTTTCTGGTTCCATAAATGTGCTTGCTGATGCACTCAAGGAAAGGAATTGAATGCTTTGAGCCCTTCACGAGTAATGGGTACGTATGTTCTTTTATGAACTTAGACAGAGCTGAAATCAGCTCAGAGCCCAAGACATAGTTTTTTAAAATATACAAATATGTTTGTTTTGCATTAACTCTGAGATCCTATGTTGTTTGGAGAGTGGTTTAAAATCGTGAGGTTGACAGCGATATATAACGGGCTAAAACGAACAATATCTATTAAAGATGGGCTTGAACTGTTACAAATGGTGTCAAAGATAGACACGAATGGTGTGCCAATGAAAACGTTGGGTTTTGAAAGAGGTAGATTGTGAGATCCCACGTCGGTTGGAGAAGGGAATGAAACATTCTTAATAAGAGTGTGGTTTAAAAAGCGTGAGACTGACGGCGATACATAACAAACCAAAACGGACAATATCTATTAGCGATGGGCTTGAGCTGTTACAGATGGTATCAGAGAAAGACACGAACGATGTGCCACGAAGACGTTGGGCCCTGAGAGAGTTGGACTATGAGATCTCACATTGGTTGGAGAGGAGAATGAAACATAATATAAGGGTGTGAAAATCTTTCCCTAGAAGACGCGTTTTAAAACTGTGAGACTGACGACGATACATAGCGAGATAATATCTACTAGCAGGGGACTTGGATTGTTACAAATAGAATTAGAGACAGACATTGTGCAGTGTGCTAGCGAAAACGTTGGGCCACAAGAGGAGGTATGTATTGTGAGATCCCACATCAGTTGGAGAGGAGAACAGAACATTACTTATGGTGTGGAAACCTCTCCCTAGCAGATGCATTTTAAAACCGTGAGATTGACGGCGATACATAACGGGACAATATCTGTTAACAGTGAGCTTGGGCTATTACGAATGGTATCAGAGCCAGATATCGGGCAGTGTGCCAGCGAGAACTTTGGCCCCCAAGGAAGGTGGATTGTGAAATCCCACATCGGTTGGAGAGGGGAATGAAACATTCCTTACAAGGGTGTGGAAAACTCTCTCTAGCAAACGCATTTTAAAACCGTAAAAGTGATGGCGATACGCAACGGGTCAAAATGGATAATATCTGCTAGCGGTGAACTTGGGCTATTACATTAACGTTTTGATTCAAGTATGCACGTAAATAATTAAAGAATTTGAGCTATTTTTCTTGTGGTTACATTAACGTTTTGATTCAAGTATGCACGTAAATAATTAAAGAATTTGAGCTATTTTTCTTGTGGTTGAAAGAGGTGGTTCTGATGAAAAATCAAAGAGAAAGCATAGTTCATCCCAACCATCATCACCGCAATGAATTGTTTTGTATGGAGTTTTGGTTTGTAAATTTGTATGCAACATCCCAACCATCATCACCGCAATGAATTGTTTTGTATGGAGTTTTGGTTTGTAAATTTGTATGCAATGTGTGTTCCCTCAATGTTTCTGTATTTCCCAAACTTAATTGAAAGTTGGAATAATACACACACACAAACTCTCTATCTCTGTTGTCCCTCCCTGCTTCTCTGATATACAAAAGAAGAACAAGAATGAATGCTTGTTCTATCTTCTTTTAGCTAATTGGAATGTTTTCTTCAAGAACTGATTGGCAGCTCGATCATTACGGTGGCACAATACGCGTAAAATGGTGTTCGGATCGGCTTGGTTCCACCGTCCCGTGGTCGGAGGCATAGGTAGCTTTTGTCCAGACCCCACAACTCCTATCCCACTCGTTTCACAAGTCAAAACGCTAAAATCCTCCACCAATTGTTCAGTACATTGGTTCATCAATGCTATGACTCCTTCGGCCGCATCGGCTTCTCGGTCGACGACATTCTCTGCAATCAATCCCTCTCCACAAGCACAGAACAATTTCTTCAAGCTTTGGAAGTCCTCATGAATCATGTCGTGATCGGAACGATAGTACACCCTTGACACTCCTCCGGCAAGAAGAACCATCAAAAACGCTTCAAAACAGGCTCTCATCACTTCTTTCATTGCCAAGGCTTGAGCTCTATCCGTCACAATGGCACACAATAAGGTAAGGTTGTGCTTTAAGACACGTAAGGCTGGACGAAGTCGCGCATTGGCGACATCGCCTGCATATAAGGCGTTGTACAACACTGAACTTGAATCGAGGAATACCATACGATAAGCAGCTACTTCGGAGACATGAAGACAAGCGGATTCAATGGCGGAGTTTGCTAGCTCAAAGTAAGAGGATTTTGTTGAAGAAAGGGATAGGAGTTTGTGTAGTGAATGAAGGTGGGAGTATATATAATGCAGTGTGTTTAGGCGAATGTATAGGCGCTGAGTGCCACGGCTGGTCAAGGGGCGGGCGTGATGGCCATCAATATGGAGTATCATGTCTTCGCCCACCACGCTACAAGGGGTAGCTTTCTTCCATAGCTGGATCAACTTGGAGTCTCGGTTACAACGGGTTAGCGGCGGAAGCTGTGGGAGGTAGCTCCGTTTTGAACCACATGATGCGACAAAAGTGATGTAATCTTGGAACATTGATTCTAAACCAGAGGCTACATCTTCAACCAGTTCTTCACTAACTCCAATACCAATTTCAAACAATTCCTCCACTGTTTCCTTAGCTAACTTCATCAACTCGACACCCGACTGCGCGTATGGCTCGGTTTTCGACCTCGGGTTCCAACTCTCTGATTCTTTAGCTCTCTTAACACACTCCCTTTGTTTCTTTACCCTCTCATCCACCCATTTCTTCATTAGATTCATTATGATGGTCTCTACTTCAAAAGGAACCATCTCTTGAACAATCGCCTTCCCGCCGTCGTCGCAGTCGGCGCAATCCTCAACCACCATTTGAACGAGTACCTTCTCTAGCTTTCCCGCTCTATGTAATACACCGATTGTCTCGCTCGTTAACGTCGCCACCCCGGTTAAGTATTGCTTCAACATGTTACCATAGCAGTTATGCAATGTAGCTGCTGCTACTCCCACTGCACTTGGATGCCATTTCTTTAGTATAGGACTGAAGCTTTCCCTCTCTTTTAATGTCAAATCCTCGGTTTCTTTCGCCAACTCAACCAGCGCCTCGCTCGCTTCGCTTGCATCGCTCACCTCACTCGCATCGCTCACCTCACTCGCCTCTTCCTTAATAAGCTTCCCATTCTCAAGTATCTTCTCAAATGCATTCCTCACCGAACTCCGGATGTAATAATCGACACGATCACCGGACGAGTCGATGACAAGGACATCTCCCACGTTTTTTCCTGTCCCTTCCGTGATAGTGACATCTTCTCCAAGAATCTTGGAAGCTGATAGCGCCAAGGGAAGAAGGTTTTCCACCTGACCAATTGTCCCCTTCTGGAAGTAATCATGGTAATGAAGTAACCTCTTCTCCGCCCAACCCTGCATCGACGACAATACCGACGTCAAAAGCTTAACGTACATCGCTTCTCGATCCGGCTTCTTCGCGTCATTCGCTACTTCTGCTAACATCGCATGAGCTGCACAAAGAAGGTCTGGCTCAAGCTGTGCTGTCACAACATACTGTTGGAACAACACCCAAGTAAAACACACATTATGAATCGGCCTTGTGATTCCGAGTGTCGACCATGTTTTCTTCATTAGTTCGAGGAGTTCATCGACCTCGTCGAGTACTAACGTCTCGTCCCTCGCATCAAAAATGGCTTGAAGAAGAGCAACATAGATATGAATGTTCAAAGGGAAGCCATCAGCCCAATGGCATACATCGGTTGGTGTCCCATTGGCACTGCGCCAAGACAATGACACCACAGAATTGCAAAGCGTTCTCATTGTATCAGAGTTCTTCCCTGTGTCAATTGGCTTTGATTCACACCCACGAATGATCTCTCTAAGACGCATTGCAAATGTGTTTGATTTATCAAGTGGAATCGAAGGGTGAAGAAGAAGCCCTGCCTCTAAGATCTTGAGCTGCCGCTTCTGCCATAAATGATACTCATTTGCATCATTGAATTCCGATGGCTTTAAATGGCGTAGAAGCTCCAATGGAAGAATTATGGTCTCTGCTCGTCTTCCCATCTGTTCATATTATGAACAACCATAAATTTACACATAAAACCACAAAATTTTACAATGAAATCAGAAATTTACTTGGCCAACAAGAGTCCTCATCAGGGTCTTCCTAAGCCGATTATCACTCTGTTCTGTGACCTTCATTTGATGTCTCATAATCTCCGCCGACGTCATCGGCCGGCGAGGTCTCGGCGACGGCAGAGTATATGAAAAATTTGGGCTCGACCCATTGGAGCCATGGGAGCTAGGGGACGACGGGTTAGAGCCACTGTTCCCACCGGACGGCATTCTTCTCGATGGTGATCGTTTCAAGATTTTTAACCCAAGTGTACGTTTGATCCGACTTGTCGGCGTCATCACCACCGCATTTGGCTTCGGCCCCGACGGCCCATCTCCATTGCCACCATTTTCAGGATTAGAAGAGGAGTAAAATGCGAGAGCGTTCCGACCTCCAAAGCCCGGCGCGGAGCGGCAAGCCGTGAAGAAGATCTCGTAGGCGGTTTCACGGACGTCATCACGGTCAATTCCGTCGAGTTTGTTGAATGGCCACACTAGATCGTTCTCGAAAACGTCGACGTGGTAGTCCGGCCGGGCGACGGAGAGAAACCCGGAGAGGGACTCACGGCGGACGTTGTGGCTATACCCCATTTGGGAGGAGGAGGAGTGGAACGATCTCAACTTCTCTCTCTTTCTCTCTGTTTTTTTTTTTTTTTTTTCCTCCTCTGTTTCTTAGATTTCCGGCGGGAGAGAAGTGGAAGATAAGGCACACATTTCTCTTAAAAAAGAGCCCTTTTAGGAGAAGATAAGGCACGCATCTCTCTGATTGTTTCTTTATTATTTTCTTTTGGTAGTTATTTGACAGAGGACAGAGAAACAGAGATGTGGCTGATCCTGCCTTGTTCGTCTCACAATTATACGAGGAACAAGGAGATGGGAATTTAACGGCCATTAATTCCTTTTTTCCTCGTACGAGGAAATGGGTCTTTCTAAAAATAACTAAAGGTTTCAGATTTCGA